GAGAGAGAGACTTTCGAATTTTTCGACCGTTGAGGTTACCGTTTTACGTACTAGCCGTTGCGCCTCGCTCTCGGTCAATAATTTGAGATTTGGCGGCTATTAGAGAAGTTTTATTTTCATACTGACCCTTAGGGTTTGTTATAATTGTTTTACTATCTATATTCTTAGAATTGTTTGCACTGGTGTCCTTTTCTATTCAAGGAAGTAGGCATCTCTTGCTACTAAAATTGCCGTTGTGGACAATTTTCTGTTAATAATTGTTATAGAATGATAACGCTTTGATTGATTGTTGCACGAATGTTTTCCTATTTTCATTTTCATAAATGTTGCAATTTTTAATAATATTTTTTTTTAAAAAAAAATGGAATAGCAATGAAATTAAAAATAAAAGAAAGACTAGTCAATTCATTTTAACAATGATATTGGACTTGCTGATTAACAAATAATTAGTCTTTACAAGTGAAAAAAGAAAAATATTTGGAAAATAAAAAAATATTTTTGATATGAAGTAATGTAATTTAATAGGCATGTAATGAAAAAAAAAAGTAATTTAAATGATTCATTATTGCAATTCATTATTGAAAAAAGTAATTTAAAATCCTTTTGTTTTATTGAAAAACTTTTAGTAATGTAAGTGAGACCTTGACAAAGTTTTATTTTAATCTTTAATTTTGAGAAATTAATTTAATCCTTATATTTTTTGTTAGAAACTGGTCCTTGTATTTAAGAAAAGTTATAATTTAGTCCTTATGATATTTTTTTTTTTGCAATTAGGCACTTACACAATTACTCTTAATATTTTCAGCTTAAAAATATGTGATACTAACATATTGACACCATTATATGAATTGATTAATGATCACATGGAGTTGAGGGCAAAGCCTTCAGAATAGATAAAGGGTAGAGTAAAGCAATATGCTTGGCTTTTTTCTCTCTGTTTTTTCACTATCATTATCAAAGATGACTTGCATCTTCTAGTTTGAAGAGACTCATCAAGAAATAATTTACGAAGGACGACGAATATGATTTCATGACTGTTCTCTACAGAAAGAACTCTCCATGCCATGTTTAATTTGGTTTCAATAGTGCTGGAGTGATGGTTACTACATGCTTTTCGTCCCTTGTTTAATTCTACATGAGATAGGTTGCTCGCTTGTTGTCATGAGTGTATAAAATAAATATATTTAATAGTGTTATAATTATGAATTAGTATTAAATAAATAATCGAAACTAAAAATATGATAGAACTAATATTTCATGACAGAAAAAAAATTATATTAGTGATTGAAAACTTAGATACTGAATAAAATAATTTGTAGCAATTTATAGTATTTTACAAGGAAAGATATAGTATTTTCATTACATGATTTAACTTTTCTGTTAATAAAAAGCAAAAAAATAAAATTCTACAGCTAAATTCTCTATCAATTTAATATTAAAAAAACCACCAAAGATAATTTTAGAAGAAAAAAAACCCATGAGGAAAAACGTTGTAGCAATTGACAATATTTTGTGAGGAAAACTATAATGTTTTCCCTAATAAAATAAAATAAAAAATCATTTAGAGAAATATTGTAGCAATCCACAATGTTTTATAAAAAAAATACAATATTTTCCCTATATGATTTAACTTTATTATAATTATAATTTTTAACCAATTTCATATTAAAAAAAAATTGATAAAAATAATTTTGGAAAAAGTTATATGAGAAAACATTACAATAATTCATAGTGATTTAAAGAAAAAAATTACACAATGACAGAGATAAAATCATAAAAAACTTTATCAATCCACGACGATTAAGTTTTTCCTCACATATTCACAATGAAAAATAATTTTGAAAAAATCATAAGAATAAAAAAATCATGTGAAAAAACATTGTAGTAATCCGTAAGATTTTATGAGAAAAGTTACAGTGCTTTTCTCATATAATTAAACTTTATTACAAAGTTAAATTCTAACCAACTCAATATTACAAAAAATAAAATCGATGAAGATAATTTAAAAAAAAAAACATATTATAGAAAAAGAAAACACAAAAGAAACTGGAAAAAATCTATGTGAGGAAAAACTGTATCAATCCATAGTGTTTTGTGAAGAAAAACTTGTATTTACTTGTAATTGCAATTCTTAACCAGCTTAATATTTAAAAAATAAAATTGATTAAAATAATTTTAGAGAAAATATAATAAAACAGAAAAAACCATGTGGGAAAAAACACTATAGCAATCTATAATAATTTGCAACGAAAGTTAAAGTACTTTCCTCACATATTGTAACTGTAATTTTTAACTAGTTTAATATTAAAAAATAAAATTAAAAAAAATAATTTTAGAAAAAATTATAAAAAACAACATAAAAAATCATGTAGAGAAATACTATGTAGAAAAACACCGCAACAATTAACAGTATTTAAAAAAAAAATATATAAAATTTTTAACCAGCTTAATATTTAAAAAATAAAATAAAAAAATAATTTTAAAAAATAAAAAAAGAGAAAAGTTGAAAAAAAAAGAAAGTAATTTTGAAGAAATAACAAAAAAAGAGAAAAAAAATAAAAATATATTATAAATTACTATTATAATCTACAATGTATTTAGGTATTGAAAAATAGTGATTTTTCCGCACCATTTAATTATGTATTTAATATCCACATTAATTTTTGGAACAGCCCCTCCCACCGCTAGGCCAGAACCTCTCCCTTGTTTAATTCTATATGAGATGGGTTGTTCGTGCGTTAGCATGAGTTTATAAAATAAATACATTTAATAATGTTATAATTATAAATTAGTATTAGATAAATAATTAAAACTAAAAATACGATGAAACTAATATTTCATGACAGAAAAAAATTGTATTAGTGATAAAAAATTTAGATATTAAAAAAAAATAATTTGTAGTAATCCACAGTATTTATTTTATGAGAAAAGATATAATACTTTCGTCATATGATTTAACTTTTCTGTTAATAAAAAATAAAAAAATTCTATAGCTAAATTCTCTATTAATTTAATATTAAAAAAACCACTAAAGATAATTTTAGAAGAAAAAAAAACCCATGAGAAAAAACGTTGTAGCAATTAACAATGTTTTGTGAGGAAAACTATAGTGTTTTTCTTAATAAAATAAAATAAAAAACCATTTAGAGAAATATTGTACCAATCCACAATATTTTGTAAGAAAGACTACAATACTTTCCCTATTTGATTTAACTTTATTATAATTATAATTTTTAACCAATTTCATATTAAAAAAAAATTGATAAAAATAATTTTGGAAAAAGTTATATGAGAAAACATTACAATAATTCATAGTGATTTAAAGAAAAAAATTACACAATGACAGAGATAAAATCATAAAAAACTTTATCAATCCACGACGATTAAGTTTTTCCTCACATATTCACAATGAAAAATAATTTTGAAAAAATCATAAGAATAAAAAAACCATGTGGAGAAACATTGTAGCAATCCATAATGTTTTGTGAGGAAAGTTATAGTGCTTTTCTTATATAATTAAACTTTATTACAAAGTTAAATTCTAACCAACTCAATATTACAAAAAATAAAATCGATGAAGATAATTTAAAAAAAAACATATTATAGAAAAAGAAAAAACAAAAGAAATTGGAAAAAAATCATGTGAGGAAAAACTATATCAATACATAGTATTTTGTGAGGAAAAACTTTTATTTACTTGTAATTGCAATTCTTAACCAGCTTAATATTTAAAAAATAAAATTGATCAAAATAATTTTATAGAAAATATAATAAAATAGAAAAAACCATTTGGGAAAAACACTATAGCAATCCATAATAATTTGCAACAAAAGTTAAAGTACTTTCCTCACCTATTGTAACTGTAATTTTTAACCAGTTTAATATTAAAAAATAAAATTAAAAAAAATAATTTTAAAGAAAATTATAAAAAACAACAAAAAAAACCATGCAGAGAAATACTATGGGGAAAAACACCACAACAATCCATAGTATTTAAAAAAATTAAAATGTAAAATTTTTAACCAGCTCAATATTAAAAAAAAAAGAAGAAAAGTTGAAAAAAAAAGAAAGTAATTTTGAAAAAAATACCAAAAAAGAAAGAAAAAAATAAAAAAATATTAAAAAAATAGACTATAAATTACTATTATAATCTATAATATATAAAATAGTGATTTTTCCGCACCATTTAATTATGTATTTAATATCCACATTAATTTCAAGATTGGAATTAGAAAATCAAGATAAAAAGAGAGACATGTTTCTTGATATCAATTTGTATGGGATTAGAATGCCTTGATCAAGCTCTTACTGGGAATATTCAAGTTTTTCAATTTGTACGGTCCTTATCTCTTGGGTTTCGCTCCTAGGGTCGCCGACTGGAATGCTACCGGCGATTTCGAGAGGGAAGCACCACGTAAGATCTTATATGTGACTTCTTCTTCTATATCACACACACACACACACAAGTCCGCTAGGTGCTTAGAACCTCCATTACTTACAGGTTGCTGCTGTCAACTGTGCTTCGCATTGCTGGACACGGAAATTACACGAGAAAGAAAAGAGCCCTTCTACCAAACCTTTGTATTCGTTTGATGTATGGTATGTTATTTTTTAAAGTATTTTTTATTTTAAAATATATTAAAATAATATATTTTTAAATTTTTTTTCGATATTAATATATTAAAATAATTTAAAAATATAAAAAATATATTAATTTAAAAAAAATTAAAAATTTAAAAAAAAATTTAAAAAAAATATATTTTTGAAACTTAATGCAAAACAGGATTGTCTGCAGTAACTTGCAGTTCTAATTGGTTGACCTTAACATGGTGTGGCATGATCCCTTACTCATAGCTAGAAGCTAATCTCTTGAATGTTACAGGTAGAGAGGTCCCATTTCATTCACTCTCTCACCCCACTTGTAGATTACTTACCTGACATTGACTCGAGGGGCTGCGCACAATTAACCTATTTGTTGTTAAGGGGACCAGTGCTCCATTTCTGTAGATGCTGATAACAATAAATATCAGCCAGCCAGGAAGAGAGAGGGAGGGAGAGGTTCATGCCACCAGGTGGACCCTCCAAAACCCTTTTCTTCTACCAACTCATATCTAGGAGCGATTACTGCGAGGACACAGTGTCCGCCCAGCGAAGTACTATAAAACATCCCCAACTCCACTTGAAGGCTAAGTTCCAAAGAACCGAAGCTCTCACATCCCAATGTACTAGGCAACACCAATATCCACCAACCAACATCAATCACTCTACAGTTTGCTAACTCTCCTGCAAGCAAGCACAGAAACAGATGGGGAGATCTCCATGCTGTGAGAGAGCGCACACCAACAAAGGGGCATGGACTAGAGAAGAAGATAAGCGTCTCGTTGCTTATATCCAAGCTCATGGTGAGGGTTGCTGGAGGTCCCTACCAAAATCAGCTGGCCTTCTTCGTTGTGGAAAGAGTTGCCGTCTTCGATGGATCAACTATCTACGCCCTGATCTTAAGCGTGGGAATTTTAGTGAAGAAGAGGATGAGCTCATTATCAAACTCCACAGCCTCCTGGGTAATAAGTAAGGCTCTAATTCCTAAACCCGCCATATGTAGCTAGTTTTAATGGAAAAAACAGTAACTAAGTTTTTATTCTACTGTCAAGGTGGTCTCTCATAGCGGGGAGGCTGCCAGGAAGGACAGATAACGAGATCAAGAACTATTGGAATACCCATATAAGAAAAAAGCTGCTGAGCAGAGGAATTGACCCTTCGACTCATCGACCAATCAATGAATCAGCCCTTGACAACATGACCACCTCTCTCGGTGCAGCTCTGAAAGAAGAGATCACTTATGGCTTTGGGTGCAAAAACCAGAAGAACCCAAACGGAGAAAAGTGTCAGGAATTGAATCTTGAGCTGAGGATATGCCCTCCCTATCAGCATCCACCTCAGTCAATGGAGAGCATAGGCAGGAAAATAATGTGTTTCTACTGCAGCTTAGGATTGAAAAACAGCAAGGATTGCAGTTGCAGTAATGACAGTGACGATTTCCTTGTTATGAAGAACGGTACTCTGGATTACAGAAGGCAGGAAAATAATTCTAAATTCGGCTTATTTATTGTGAATAGATAAAGACAGATTTTTTATATGGAATCTCCTTTCTCAGCTTGAAAGCAATGATGCCTAAGCTTAATGACCTATGAAACTGTCCACCTAAGTCCATAAATTAAACAGCCAATTCCCCCCTTCTGTTATCATCAACATTGTCAGTTTGTGGATGCAGATAGATTGTTTTATTTTTCTCCATCTTTCCTTATCTTCCCCTGTAAATTCCGATAGAAAAGAGAGATGATTATGGATAAGCAGTGAGAGGAGGAGAATCAAAAGGTATCAGATGGAAGTGGGTAACCTATCGGAGTCATGCATAAAAGAAGAGAGAGACAGACAGACAGACAGAAGGACGGCACATTGTTGATGGCTCAATATTCATTTAACGCATGCCTACCACCTACTTAACAATTGTCCCAATAATCAAAAACAAAATTGGATTCTGTGAAATGTTTGTGATATGTTCTATCCCTCTCTCTCTCTCTCGTCTTTATCAATCTTCACAATTTAGCCTACAATGTTAGTTGTACCTAGCTATACCAGTCCTTGCATGTTCGAATGCAAGTTATACATGTGCAGTAGGGCACCAATCAATGTTAATTAGCTGACAACAGCCACGCTCTGAACATATATAGCAGGAGTAAACAAACATGGAACCAAGTAGTTATAATCCACAATCATCTTCAAAAAATCTTTACAGCCTGCTGGGAAACTGTAAATACCAACTCACACAAGATTACATCATACATGGCATTGACTGTGAAAAAGAGGACTTCCTTACACTTGCCATTTGCCACCAGCGACAACGCCCCAGAGCATGCTAGTAAGGCAGGGTGGGAAATGTTTATCATTGGAAAGATGGTAACAGGTCTCAAACCTCTGCTTTTCCTCCTAGTGTCTTCCCTCAATATAGCAATAGTGAAAAGAACAGTAACCTATTTATTGACGAAATAATATTTATGATGGAAAGACATTACTGGTACGCTGGTTTCTGGATCGACCTCATTCTTTCACTGGTGTTTTAGATAGTTGGAATTTACGTCACAGTTTTGGTAACTTGGAAGCTGGAGGACTTTCATATGTAACACCGTAGACCTTGAGGGTTTTCATGTGATAGATAAGAAAGCATGATAAGCAAACGGAAACTGAAGCATGCAACAAATGGCAAGTCACCATGAATCAAATCATCACTGTCAGTACTCATGAGTCATGAATCCAAATTTCTTGCACAGACGGACTTCCAAACAAAGAGGTCATTATTGCAATGACAATGACCAGGCTATTGCATTTGTTGCATAACCACAATTTCTATCCACAAGGAGAGCTTACCAAGACTATTCCCTGCATTAACAAATGGAAGAGATGCTTCTGGCCAAGCTACTAATTAGTAGAGGTCAGAAAGATTTTGCTGAATCTACCAAGCCTGCTATCAACAACTCAGGTCTCACATCTATAGAAAGACAACCAATTCTCTTAAATCGAGGCCGAACAAAGATACCTATCCCCTTTATTTTAGCAAGATATACAAAATTCATATAATAGCATGTAAACGCTGCAAATTCTAAAGCAAGATATAATAGAGTTCAAGATTGCTGAGACAAGCAGAACTCCATGTGAAGAGAATGATATCGATGATTAAGAAGGTAGAAATAAATTATTATTTTGTAGACATCTCTGTATTATACATCACATGAAGATGGACAATTTCCTATATCACATTAAAAATATTCTCCCATAATAGAATAAAGGCCAGAAACCCATAAGCTAATAATAAAACAGAAACAGGGATTTATGTGGCTCAGCAAATATACCGAAGACTCCAAACATCAAAAACTCCATATCGCTTCTGAAAACTACAATGCACGAAAACTGTCTGCTTTATCCAGTCTGGCAGTACCTGAACTTGATGATTCACCCATTGCATCAGGTGAAGCCGCTACATGGGATGATTCTCTCTTCAGAGAAGTTGGTAAACCTGAAATCTCCTGAAACATGAAAGACAAAAACAGCGTTTGATCAGATTAATTGTTTTTGTGGACTGAGCACAGACCTAGCTAGAACATTTCTGATATGGTCCAGGGTTCACATCAATTTCTTAGATAAACAAATTAAACATCTAGAACATACTAACCATACCAAAAACCTTCATCCAAGAATCTAAATCATTGAATTTGTGGAAATTACCAGTCAGATCCACTCATTCAATTGATGAGATTTTCCCAGAAGAAACATTAGGTAAAACTAGCACAAGTCATCTAGAAATTGCTCACATCATCCTTTATGCATATGAACTTACAGAATTATGGTTGCTAAGTTATTCCAACTAACCAGAAACTGGCTGTAGTGTATTACCTTCATTAAATGCAACCTCAAGGCAGCAGGTCGAACTTGATTTCCTATGCATGCCATCACAAACTTTGAATACTGAAACAAGACATCAGCAGCAGCTTGCTTTTTCTCTTCAATCTGCAAAACATCATTACAATTAGACTTGAAATAAAGAAAGCAGCCAACAGCTTGGAAGATTTTAGGGATTATTCTAAATTTCCAATATTGACACAATTACAAACGCAACTACTTCAAAACAAAAATTGTTATTAAGAAGCAGGAACACAAACGGCATTTTTTACAAACTCGACAAGGTATTCAACTTCCAGGAAAACAGACAGAGGTAACCTGAGGTTAGATAAAGGCAGCTTGCATCGATAATCTACACATATCTGCGCAGCTAGGGCACACTATTTTCCTCTGCTTTGTAATTTTGATTACAGATAAAGAAAACCAGCACTCCAACTACATATGTTCTAAACATGGAGCAGAAAGAGCATTATGTACGGCCATCAAACTAGGCATCATGTTATTAGACGAAAAAAATCGGTAAAATTAAAGATTATGATTTTCATTAGAAATAAAATCATTGAATTAACAAATTATTCGAAACCCTAACTGGAAACGGAACAGGGCCTAGATCATTACGAAATTAATTAACATCAAAATCATAGATAATCAACTAATTTCTTAAATTAAGAAGATGCATATAACAAGATAGATAAGCAGCCAAAGTTCTGGTATCATTTCGATCAGAATTCGAAGTACCTAATGATTTCGGAAAAGATAACTGATTTAGAGATAATCAAGAGATAAACATGAAATTAAATAGAAGTAGAGGGGGAAAAAAGGAATCTGAAGCAGAGAACAATACTGCGTACCTCATAATCTTCTTTCATGGCCTAAACCGTTGCGGGATAGGATTGATTGAGCAAGACGGTGTTAGTTTTGAAATTATACTTCCATTTTGCGTTCTCAACGTTAAAAATATATAAATATTAATGTACAGACGCTGCAGATGTATTGGCCTATTAGCTCAGCTGGTTAGAGCGTCGTGCTAATAACGAGAAGGTCGCAGGTTCGAAACCTGCATGGGCCATTTGTTTTTTTTCTAAAAGAAGACAACTTGCATTAAAAAAAAAAAACTAGATATCTTGTTCACTGCTTTTACATATATATTAAAAAAAAAAAACTAGATATCTTGTTCGAAACCTGCGTACCTCATAATCTTTAATATTAATAAATATATGTAAAAGCAATTATTTCAAGGTCTTTTTTATAGCAATTATATTTACAGAATTTTTATATAAGGTAATTAATATGATTATTTCATGTGTATATTGAAAAACAAAACTTGTTTATCAATAATCAACATCTAAATAACTTTATAGACAAAATATACACCTAAATTTCATGAATGCCATTAAAATTGTAGTTTACGAATTATTTTTAATTTTGTAGCGTCTTTTCAAATTAATGTCTACACTATATGTTTTTTATATTTTATTTTTGATACTAAATAATTAATAATAAAATTTATTTAAATAATACATAATTTCAGTGAAGTTGAAATTAACTTATTAAACACTTTAATTATCTTTTAACTATGAGAATAGCGTCTTGTACCATGAATAAGATTATTATAGTTGTTATTATGGTCATAATAGTTTAACAGTAGAAAAGTATCTACAATATTACATAAATATAAATAACTTAAATTATTACTGTAATAATAGCTGGTTTACAACTATAAAATTAATACAAGACAAATATCAAAGAAATTATATCAATATAAAGGATAATTTACATTAACTATTAGTATTATTTACAAACACAAAAGTTGTTTGTTACTTTTCAAAATCCAATTTTGCTTCATTAAATATAAAATAACAATTTACAGTCATTATGGGAAATTACTTTAAATTGAGCTAGCAGCTTAAAAATTAATTAAATTAACTATTATAACAAAGATATCAACAATGTTGCCTTAATTAAAGGGATCGTATAATGGAGATCAGAGAATGGAAGAGGGAGAAGCTAACGATTCTAGAAAAAAACTAGTGAAAATAGATCTACATACTTTAAGATTATTATATGTATATATATAATGATTCGTAAAAACTAGTGAAAATAGATCTACATACTTTAAGATTATTATATGTATATATATAATGATTCGTGAGGATATATTTATTTTATTAAAAATTTACTATATTTTTTACTCAAATCTATCTGTATTATCTGAACCACAAGAAGATGAATATATCATTGGTAAGACTGCAAAAGTAAAACGAGAAAAAGATGAAGTGCTTTGTCAAGGGCATAAACTGAATACTTTGACTAATCAATTTTATGACATCTTCTCCAATTTAAAATCATCAAAAGAAATTTGGGTTATCTTGGAGACACATTAAAAAAAAAATTAGGTTTTGATTATTTTTTTACTTTAATTTTTTTTTTTAGTATGAGATTGCTGACAATAAGCCAATCGTGGATCAAGTCCGTGGAATTCAACTGTTGATATCAAAACTTAGTGGTTTGGATATTAAAGTTCCTGATTCACTTAAGTGAGAGCTATTTTATCAAAATTTCCTCCATCTTGGAATGAATATAAGAAGAAGATTTATTCTACAAACAATTATATATTTGAACTGTTTTAAACATATTTGCAAATTAAAGTTCAATATTGTATGCGTGAATTGTAAGTAACAAATTCTAAAATGAATTTGATTACTGGAACTGGTTCATCAATAACTCAAAACAATTTGAAAGTGTAAAAAACAAAAATCAAGAAGAAACAAAATGCTAATAAAAAGCATAGAGTTTGTTTCTATTATAAAAATAAAGAGCACTACATAAAAGAGTGCAGATTCAAGAATTTCAACAAGAAATGTGGTTCTTTTAAAGCGAACATGGTTAAAAAAGATGAAGTCAGGGAGTTAGTTGCCATGGTTTCAAACATTCAAATTGGAATGATTACTGAATTAAATATGACAACTAATGTTGTAAAGATTTCAGATTGGTGGCTAGATTCTGGTGCAACAACTCATATTAACAAAGCATGGTTCAAGACTTATGAAGAATTGAAAAAACCAAAAGAGTTCTTGATGGGCAACAATAATTTTACCAAAGTTTTGGGAAAAGAAACTATTAAGTTGTACTTTATTTCTGAACAAAAATTATATTTATTCAATGTGTTTCATGTTCCTAAAATTAGAAAAAACATTGTATATGATAGTCTTTTGAGCAAAAAAGGTTTCAAGATTGTTTTGGAGTTTGATAAGATTATTATAACTAAGAATAGGATATTTGTGGGAAATGGTTATTCCTGTGATGACATGTTTAAGTTCAGTATTAATAAAATCAATGTTATTTCTACTTATATGGTTAAATATACTTCTTTTATTTAGCATGTTAGATTAGAACATCTAAATTATAGATATTTAAAATATATATGTAAGCATGATTTTATTTCATATCAATATAATAATAATAATAGTAACAAATCTGAAGTATTATTTCAAGGTCTTTTTTATAGCAATTATATTTACAGAATTTTTATATAAGGTAATTAATATGATTATTTCATGTGTATATTGAAAAACAAAACTTGTTTATCAATAATCAACATCTAAATAACTTTATAGACAAAATATACACCTAAATTTCATGAATGCCATTAAAATTGTAGTTTACGAATTATTTTTAATTTTGTAGCGTCTTTTAAAATTAATGTCTACACTATATGTTTTTTATATTTTATTTTTGATACTAAATAATTAATAATAAAATTTATTTAAATAATACATAATTTCAGTGAAGTTGAAATTAACTTATTAAACACTTTAATTATCTTTTAACTATGAGAATAGCGTCTTGTACCATGAATAAGATTATTATAGTTGTTATTATGGTCATAATAGTTTAACAGTAGAAAAGTATCTACAATATTACATAAATATAAATAACTTAAATTATTACTGTAATAATAGCTGGTTTACAACTATAAAATTAATACAAGACAAATATCAAAGAAATTATATCAATATAAAGGATAATTTACATTAACTATTAGTATTATTTACAAACACAAAAGTTGTGTTACTTTTCAAAATCCAATTTTGCTTCATTAAATATAAAATAACAATTTACAGTCATTATGGGAAATTACTTTAAGCAGCTTAAAAATTAATTAAATTAACTATTATAACAAAGATATCAACAATGTTGCCTTAATTAAAGGGATCGTATAATGGAGATCAGAGAATGGAAGAGGGAGAAGCTAACGATTCTAGAAAAAAACTAGTGAAAATAGATCTACATACTTTAAGATTATTATATGTATATATATAATGATTCGTGAGGATATATTTATTTTATTAAAAATTTACTATATTTTTTACTCAAATCTATCTGTATTATCTGAACCACAAGAAGATGAATCTATCATTGGTAAGACTGCAAAAGTAAAACGAGAAAAAGATGAAGTGCTTTGTCAAGGGCATAAACTGAATACTTTGACTAATCAATTTTATGACATCTTCTCCAATTTAAAATCATCAAAAGAAATTTGGGTTATCTTGAAGACATATTAAAAAAAAAAATCAGGTTCTGATTATTTTTTTACTTTAAATTTTTTTTGAGTATGAGATTGCTGACAATAAGCCAATCGTGGATCAAGTCCGTGGAATTCAACTGTTGATATCAAAACTTAGTGGTTTGGATATTAAAGTTCCTGATTCACTTAAGTGAGAGCTATTTTATCAAAATTTCCTCCATCTTGGAATGAATATAAGAAGAAGATTTATTCTACAAACAATTATATATTTGAACTGTTTTAAACATATTTGCAAATTAAAGTTTAATATCGTATGCGTGAATTGTAAGTAACAAATTCTAAAATGAATTTGATTACTGAAACTGGTTCGCCAATAACTCAAAACAATTTAAAAGTGTAAAAAACAAAAATCAAGAAGAAACAAAATGCTAATAAAAAGCATAAAGTTTGTTTCTATTATAAAAATAAAGAGCACTATATAAAAGAGTGCAGATTCAAGAATTTCAACAAGAAATGTGGTTCTTTTAAAGCGAACATGGTTAAAAAAGATAAAGTCAGGGAGTTAGTTGCCATGGTTTCAAACATTCAAATTGGAATGATTACTGAATTAAATATGACAACTAATGTTGTAAAGATTTCAGATTGGTGGCTAGATTCTGGTGCAACAACTCATATTAACAAAGCATGGTTCAAGACTTATGAAGAATTGAAAAAACCAAAAGAGTTCTTGATGGGCAACAATAATTCTACCAAAGTTTTGGGAAAAGAAACTATTAAGTTGTACTTTATTTCTGAACAAAAATTATCTTTATTCAATGTGTTTCATGTTCCTAAAATTAGAAAAAACATTGTATATGATAGTCTTTTGAGCAAAAAAGGTTTCAAGATTGTTTTGGAGTTTGATAAGATTATTATAACTAAGAATAGGATATTTGTGGGAAATGGTTATTCCTGTGATGACATGTTTAAGTTCAGTATTAATAAAATCAATGTTATTTCTACTTATATGGTTAAATATACTTCTTTTATTTAGCATGTTAGATTAGAACATCTAAATTATAGATATTTAAAATATATATGTAAGCATGATTTTATTTCATATCAATATAATAATAATAATAGTAACAAATCTGAAGTATGTGTTCAAGCAGTGATGACAAAGAAGTCTTTCTAAAGTAGAAAGAAATTCTCAATTACTTGAGTTAGTCTATTCTGATATATGTAAAATAAATGGTATGTTAATAAGGGTTGGAAAAAGATATTTCATAACTTATATTGATGATTATTCAAGTCTTACCAATGTTTACTTGTTAAGAACTAAAGATGAAGCTTTTGAAAAATTCAAGAAAATGATAGAAAATCAAAAGGAAATGCAAATTAAAGTTCTTAAAAGTGATAGAGATGAAAAATACTTTTCTAAGA